TCTTTCATCCTGCTTACGTAGCGACCAGGTTTCTGCTGCATACGTTAGGGCAGGGATAATTGTCGAGTCGAAAAGGTGGGCACGGAGTCGGATGTTCTTTGTCCTCTTCACTACATCTTCGATGCTCTTAAACGTTCCCCAAGCCGCTCGTTTCCTCCTGCTCAACTCTGGGGCGAGGTCGTTCATCATGTTGATTTCACGACCTAGATAGATGTAACTGGAGCATTCGGAAATTGTCGTTCCGTTGAGCGTGAATGGGGCATTAGAAACCCATCCGTTCCTCATGAACATTGTTTTCGTTAGATTCAGTTGAAGACCGATCTTTCCACAGGCGTTATCGAAATCAGTCAACATTCGTTCCGCTTGGCTGATGTTTGGTGTTATGAGAACGATATCGTCAGCAAAGCGAAGATGGTTTAATTGTCGACCGTCAATTTTCACTCCCATTTCGTCCCATTCTAATGTTCGCATGACGTTTTGTAGGGTGGCAGTGAATAGTTTTGGCGATATTGTATTGCCTTGTCGAACCCCTCTTCTTACGTCAATGGTGATATTGTTGTAGAATGGAGATATTCTGGTCGTGAAATCTTTATAAAGCTCACGAAGGATCATTATGTACCGCGTAGGGACGCCCTGGTTATCCAGAGCCTCTATAACCGCTTCTGTTTCCACTGAATCAAAGGCTTTTTTCAGATCGATAAAAGTGAGACAGAGTGGTTGTTTGTACTCTCGCGAAACTTCAATGAGTCTTGTGATCGTGTGGATGTGGTCCATGGTACCAAATCCTTTTCTGAACCCTGCTTGTTCGCATGGCTGTCCTTCGTCCAGTGTTCTGTCAATCCTGTTCAGGATGACTCGAGTAAAGAGTTTATAGACAACGGACAGCAAGCAGATTGGGCGATAATTGCCTATGTCGTGAAGGTCTCCCTTTTTGAACAACAATACGGTCTTGCTGGTCTTCCATTGAATAGGGACCTTGCATTCTGACAGGTAGCGAGTGAAGAGCCGAGCCAGGGTGTTGATGAGAACTGGCGGCAGGTTCTTCAGGTGTTGTGGTCTAATTCTGTCTGGACCGGGTGTTGTACTGTTTTTCACCGACGATATAGCATGTCGGATTTCGGAAGGAAGAACCGGTGGAACGACATATTCGTCCTTTTTCGATTTATATGACGGCAAGAGAACATGGCTAGCGAAGAGATCCGAGTAGTACTGGTGGATGATTTTCTCCATAGCCCTTCTGGAAGCTGTAAGTGTCCCGTCAGGGTATCGGAGTGCAATCATCTTGGTCTTATAGTTGGCGAAGCCTCGCTGGGCTTTGCGAATGCTCTTCCCAGCTTCTGCAGCTTCTGCCATAACTGCTGCTCTTCTCTCTTTAAGGTCTTCTTTTATCGCTTCTCTGCATCGTTTCGCAAGTTCGGACGTAAGGTTTCGGTTGCCTGCAGCTCGTGCGATTCCACGTTGACGTATCAGCTCGAGTGTCTGCGGAGACAAGCGTCTCTTCGTGACCTTAGGACTCTCGGCTTTTTTAGCGCTAGCGTGAAGATATTTTAACGAGTCGATCGTATTCTTTGTCGATGTTGTCGACAACGGTATCTTCCCAAGAGCCGACTAATGATTTGAATACATCCCAGTTTATGGTAGTTCTGGGACTTCGTTGTTTGAATTCAGCGGCTTTCTCTCCTCTCCTCGAAAATCGGAACGTTGCGCGAAGGAGGCGATGGTCTGATCCCGTGTAGAACTTAGGAACAACAGCGACATCGGTCAGGCAAAACTTTCGACTTACTAATTTGATCTATTTCGTTATGATACTCTCCACTGGGAGACTCCCACGTCCATCGCTGAGAAAGAGGCTTTTAGAATTGCGAGTTACCATGGATGGTTTGGGTCGTCATGATACACTCGGATAGCCTCTCACCCTGTTCATTCCATTCTAGTCCGTGGGTCCCTATGTGACGTTCTTCAGACGTTCTTCTAGGTCCAATTTTTGCGTTAAAATCTCCGACAATGACCTTGAAGAATGTATGATCTTCTCTGAAGAATTTTTCAAGGTCCATATAGAACGCTTCGACTTCGTCTTCGTCATAGCTTGATGTTGGTGCGTAAGCAACGAAGATGGTCAAAGCCGGCATAGAACCACATCGTTTCAACCGTAATCGTCCGATGCGGGTTGTTAGTTGTTCGAACGAATCAATGTTCACGGTCAAATTCGATTTGACGAGGACGCCAACATAACCGACACCTCTGCGGTCGCATGTTCCGAGGAACAGTTCTTCTCCGGTGTCATAGACAGCGTATAAAGGATGGCGCCTTCTCGTCTCAGCCAGGCCAATGACGTCGTACCTTATTCTTCTTGCTTGAATCAACAGATCTTCTACAGCTGATTGTTGAGCAAGGGTTCTTGCACTGTAGGTACAGATCGTCATTTTAGCCCGTTTCGATCTTGGCAGCCTAGTTCGGCCCTGAGATTTTAGCAGCCTCTCCGTACTCGTCCTACCTGGCGCTGCCGTACCAGGGGCTCTTTCGGGGTCAGAGGAATGAGGCCCATATTTGTTACTGTTTTTGGCGTTTTTGATACCCGACATGTAGCTTGCCAGGCTCTAAACGTGGGGGCTGGGTACTCACGAGTAGCTTGCCAGTCTCTCTCGGAGGAGCGGGAGGAGCTTATTTGTTGGAGGCGACTCCTAACCGCCTCCCATGTACTTCCCAGCCGCTTGATTGCAGGCTTTTGGCCGACTTGACTCGTAGAAATAGAGTTTTGTCAAGTCGGCACTGCAGAAGCAGGGAGCTCGTCCCCTGAATCCTCCTGCGTCTCTGGGAAGCACACGGTCACTTTTGGTTCGCGTTTTATTCCCCTATCCACCACCTGGGGACGCGCCACGTGCCCTCGCGACTAACCGGGCGGGATCTCTCAAAGAGGGAGGTCCGTGGATATATATATATATATATATATATATATATATATATATAGACATGTACATATACATAATGCGATTTCCGGGATAATTTTGCCAGCTTAACAGCCTAAACGTTTTGGATAAGTTCCACTACACAGTTCAAATTTGTAGCACTTCAAAGGGAACTACCGGATAGAAAATCCTTTCTTTATGTGATACATGGTAATTTCTGAAGATGGGTATATCCAAGAAAGCGTAATCACACTACAGGTGCTTTGTTGCCTTGTCAGGCTGTAAAAGAATGCTAAAATGATGTTCAGACACTAGTATGGAAAACACAGGAAAGCGAAAGGAACCGTGCCGCTAGTCGAGTTAGAGAAGATGCTCTTGCATGAGCCACGAGATAGTTTATTACTCAAAGGAAAACAGCAGACAATATAATACCAATCATTGTTCTACTTTCTGTTTATTTTCTTACTTTATTCTATGAAAAAAACTGGCTGATGTAAAAGAAAGGGTGCTTTCAGATCATGAGTTCAGAATGACTCACAAATAACCAGAAACAACTGGCAGCAGCATCAGCGCATTCAGTCTAAGTACTGGTGAAAAACATGCGGTGCAGCGCTGATTCAAAAAGTTTCGTAAACGAGATGAAAGCCACGAAGATGAGGGATATAATGGTTGGTTCAGGGAGGTTGACAACGCATAATTTAGAGCATTTATCAAATTGATTTAACAGAGATGTTGCCGAGCAACTCAGCGTTGACTACTATATGGCATTTTACCATTTAGATCAAATTGAAAAGATGAAAAAGTTGGCGTAAAAGTAATGACAGTTTGCTCACACCCACGCGACGGTCATACGTGGCACAAAGAACGCTTGAAAAGCTGAGCTGAAGCTTTGCCTTATTGTTCATATTCGCTAAGCCTCGCGCCCAGTGACTACCACCTCTTTTAGCAACTCGGCAAACCTTTTACGAAGAACGCTTTTAAAATCACCAGAATGCAGATAATGCTTTTCAAATGTCCATCGATTCTCAAAGCAGCAATTTCTAAGCTGTAGATAAGCTAGTATACTCCTCATTTACAACAATGTGCTGATTGTGATGATTTTCAATTTGATAAAAAAAAAGATGTGTTTGAGCCTAGTTACAGTCTTTGGAAATTTACGATCTGAAAACGCCACTACTTTTGTAAGGAGGGCAAGGGCAGAAGAAAAAATAAGACTGTGTTAACAGGCGTTGTACGGTATCGTGCGTTATCACGCGTCTTCTGCAGAGATCCCCCTTAGACTATCATTTTTCATTCGACAGCGAAGATCTTAAAAAAATATCTTATATCTTCCGTTTCGAGTGTTTTTTTAAGACCACCGCTCAGACTTCAGTATGCCAAACAATCATTTTTGAGCCACGCATGTCATATGGTCTATCAAAAAAGGGCTGACTCATAGAGTCCGACACACGTGTTTCGAAAATAGAGTCTCGTCGTCGGGCAGTTACCATTTCACGTCTCTGCCGATCCTGAGTGTAAAACGTTCGCCGTCGCTTATTCTTAGTGTGGGGACTGGAGCACTCACACAGGATTGGCAAAAGGCGAGAAAGGGCAACTGCACGACTGACGAGACTGCAAGGTCGAAACACGTGTACCGGGCTCTATATGTTAGACTTTTCTTCACAGAGCACATGACATGCGTGGCTCAAAAATAATTATTTGGCACTTTCAAAAATAATTTCAAAAATGTGTTTTTAGAACGGCCTTGTTGTGGCGCTGTAGCAGGATAAATAAAATTGTGTCTTACCCGCGTCGTGCGTTACCAAGAGGATTTTCGTTGCTTAGAGAATCGTTCTCCGCTTTGTGGAGATCTATAAGGCTTCCTACATTTATAGAAGAAATTTGCTTTCTTCGTTGTAGGTTTCAAACTTTTCATTTTCACTTCTGTCAGATTAACCTACCACTGAATCTAGGCCTAGGCTGCTTAAGCACAAACGCAAAAACATTTGAACATATTGAGGAAGTCATCGAGTATCAGAATGAAAAACTTTATCCAGATTTTTGTCGAAGCAAATAACAATATACCTAAAAGAGTTGAATGGTGAGCAAAAATACGGCCTCACACGGGAGTCGAACCCGCGTTTCATCCATTTCGGTGACGTGCTACCACAACACCACCGAGGTACATTCGCACCACCACTCATTCTTTGCTAACTCTGTGACAGTTGCCAGCCACCAACTTTTAACAAATTTGGTAAGGTATGCGACTTTGCTTTATAAACCCGATTGAGCTGGAAGCCACTGTGTTAAGTAAAAGTCCTGATTTCTAGCGTATTTACTGCATTTTTCGCAGTATTATGATGACTGATATATACCTAAGAGAGCTAGTGGTGAGCAAAAATACGATCTCAGACGGGAGTTAAACACGCGTTTCATCCATAGAGGTGACACTATAAATCACGAGTATTGCAAATGACAAATCTAAATCGAATAGCAAAATCGCACTCCCATATCTCACCTGTGCGGCCACCGATCACGCTATCGATGCGCAGCCACTTTCACCTTAGCCGACAAGCTAAGCGCTGCGTATTTGAAGGTCAGTCGTATTTCCACTGTTATAGTAAAACAGAATGTTCTCTTTAGGAAATAAGCACACCATTGGAACTGCTGAAAATCAAGCCATAACATGGCATAATGAGGCGTGAAAAACATGGACACCGAATAATCGCCACTTAGATAACACGGTGAGAAACACCGAACACCACAAATTGTACAACATTTACGAGTAGTATAAAGGCGAAATGACAGAAAATGACTTCAACTTACAAGCAGCAAACGGTGGAGCACGACCGCGTCGAGAGGAATAGTATTCAGCAATGCGCTCATAAATCGATGGCTGCGCGGGCAGAGAAGCCGAAGCGTGTGGCGAAGGATAGCGCCTATCTAGGTCGGAATGGTTAGATCCGCCATATGATTTGAAATTTGGCATGCAGCCAACATCGAAATGAGACAAGGTTATGTCAGGGAATAGTAGGTGAAAAATATCAGTATACACATCTAAAGGGGCGCACTCTTGTTGTGATGTTCCTCGCGGCGCGCGTGGAGCCGAGTTCCACCCTCCAACTCTCTCCGGCAGTCAACGAGAATGCCCTATGAAACGCTCCAGTCTGGCTATACTCGAGATTGCAAAAGATTGAGATTGGATACATGCTCGACCAGTGTTCTACGTCATTCAAGAAGAAAGCGGTAAGCGAATTTAATGCTAAAGATAGTGGGATCCACATAATAAAAATTGTGATAGCAGGTCTTTAAATACATAAGTAATAACTAAACATTCGCTGATGCGAATAGAATTAAGAAGTCAAAGAAACGGTCACTGCAGCTACTAACTATACATTGTTACTACATGAGATAATGATATAGATAGGAGATATCTTTCCGCGGAACTGACTGAACCGAAAGGAATCGCGCAACTGACGAGGCTGAACATGTGTTTTGCACTGTATGAGTCCCTATAAAAGACCACATGCATAGCTCAAAAATAACTATCAAGTACACCAATAGATGCTTCTCTCTAAAGCTGATTTACAACGAGGAATGTCATCAATTCACTTCTGGATATGCAAAACACCCTGGAATGGTGATAGAAGATTAAGGTATGGGCAGCAGACGTAACCGAAGACGCCAAGGTTGGAAGTGACATAAGCAATAACAACGAATTTCGCCAATTACACGATTAAGAAAATGCAATAAGATTCACCCTAGCACTACTTTATGATATTTGTTGCTAGAGCAAAATCTCCATAACAATACCTCTCCTCTCGACTGCTTATATAAACGTCGCTCAATACAATGATGCTGGAGAATTTTTGTCATGTGACTTGCTGTGACCTGTTATTCGGCGTCGACTCCTTCATATGTAGGGATATGACCATAAGAAATCGGCTGAACAGAAAGACAGTGTGTTACTGATGCGCCTATATGGGCGAAAGAGCAGCTGTCCAGTTATAAGTGCTGGATCAGATCTCATAACAGGCTCAGAACAATAGACGAAACAACATGCGAAATGCTTGCAATCGTTCGAGGCGATGAGTACAAGGTAAGAAATCAAATGTTAGAAGTTAGGACTTTCAAAGAAAAATGTGAGGTGAAAAGGCTCTAATAGTACGCTGCACTAAAGAAAAGAGGATAACTTTAATAACAATTGTCGCGTACTCCACTTTCACTCTTTAGAATTTGAACTATGCTTAGGATTTTACCCATCACCATCAGCATTTCTCAAAGAGACCTATAAAGTAACGACATAGGAAAGGATTGTAAGTCGTAAAAATTACTATGCTTGATGATTTATCCTTCCAGATTTATATCGAGTTCCTCTTCAAATAATCACTTTGAAAGTTGTGACGTACAGCAAATATATATCACGGTGCATATAGCCATCAAAAGATAACGTATTTGATGGTCATCAAGCAGTGAAAGATGAGCTCTACATTCGAATTCGTCAGGCATGATTTTGGAGGTAGTACAGCCAATACAACATCAAGCAGCAACCTCTATCTTGCAAGTGTATTGGCTACGGCGCTACGCTGACCATGTTGAGTAGATATTTCAATGTTATCTCACTCCGTTAAATAAATTTCATAGCCGCAACTTGTGCTTTGGAAGATACGAATTTACGTTATTAGTTATCACGTTATTTGAGGCTTATTGAAACGTCGATAACACTATGGATCTAAAAGGGACACCAAAAACCATGCTTCACTGATGTTCACTAATAGAACACCACACCGCTTTGAAGACAAGTGAGAAAGAAGTTTGAAGCTCTTTGGGGTAGAAAACTTTATGACAAAATTCAACTCACTAGTGATAGCGTTAAATTTGAGAAATATCAATATGAATAGTATGAGTACAACACATGTTTCACACTGCAACAAGGTGAAAGGAAGCACAATATTTGACAGGATCGGCCGTTAAAGAAGGAAATATTAAAAATGTGATATTTATGCAGCATTCAAAGTTTAAAGTTCTCAATTTGAGAATGATGAAGGCTTTTAATGACTGATTGGAACTCCAATGAAGACAACAGTTAACAGGTGACATAACAGCCTTTTTATTAGGTCACAATGAAATTACAAAGATAAAGCAAGCAAAAAGGAATGCTGGCATATATTTAGTGTTTGACTAAATCTTATTGGTAGGCTATAAAGTGACATGCAATCAGAGGAATGCTGAGATACGAGCAAAACATAGAACCCGATATATATGTAAGGGAGACTGACCACAGCTATCTTTCTAGGTGATTGAATGAAAGAGAGAACACTTGTGACACTCAAAAGACAGCATGTCACATGTAAGCGTCAAGCAAAAACACGCAGGAAGATCTTTACACCTTCAATGACATTTAGAGTAATAAAAGATATCAAGTGTAACATCAAGAGCGCAACATTTTTGGTAACAGAACACGGACGTGTTTCTTCTCCTGCCATCTCGTTGATGGACGGTATTCTACTGTGTTAGACGGTAGTCTGTTTAATAGAGAATGATAAGCTGAGATCGTTGACGATAAAATGCTGAATGATACTAGTTACCGATCACTAATGTAAAAAGATAAGAAATAAGGAGAATCGCTTCAGCATTGATCGATCCTACTGGAATGATTTATTGGCATTGGTCTATACGACCATGCAAGTGTGAGGTGTCTACGCGACATCACCGTGAACCTACAGGGCTGCCCGACACATGTCGGACAGGAGGCGGTTCGAAGGCGGTCAACGGCTACGCTTTTGCGAATGACGAAAATTATCATGCACTCAAAAGAAAGTGTTGCAATCTCATCAACGCATCTCTCATGTGGTGTATCACAACTGAGGCTGATCAGCGCAAGGCGAAGGGATGTGGATAAGTCACGTATTTACGATTTGGCCTATATAATGATTTACGAAGCCCTAACGATTGACCAAGTTTAGTGCTTTATTATACGAAACCAGTCTGACACAGTACTCCAAACCCTGTTGGAATGAAGGGCGTGGTCTGCTTTAGGCTGAAGCTGTGAATAGAAATAGCCCATAAAAGTTGTAAATGAAGCTGAAACTTACTAATAGCATGAGGAAATTGGGGAAAACAATGATCCCGTTATCTTCGGTGTGCTCAACGTTCGTGTACTTGTGAAGCTAGCAAATTCTCCTGCAACTTCCTTTTCTGTAAGAACAATACAAAACATATTACAAGAAAAATGGAATGAAAACAAAATTGCTTTTGGGATTCACAGTAGCGAAAGGCATCCTCATGACGACCAATGATTTTCGGATGCTTTGTAATAAGGCGTTGAAGCATTTTCATGAAGCACTTTTGCGGCGTAGAAAAATAACATGACAACAATGAACTAGTGAAAACTTCAAGCTGGACATTTTTTACTATTGGTATGAGTAAAAACATTGACAGTGTCGTAACGATCAATACTTTGTCATTTTCACTAGTAGCCAATTTCACTGCTGCTTATTCATAATAATCAGTGAGAACTTCTTCCATCTTTTCGCTTATTTAAATGGAATTAATTGTATACTACGACGTCCTGTTTCCGAACTATATCACCACCGTGTAATTTTACATGGGCTCTAAGCGCGCGTGCAAAAATTGTCTTTAGCTCATTCATGGAAGAATTATTAGTCTCGATGGCAACTTCAAATGGTCAATGAAAAGTGCTGCAGCAAACATAGCTATCTAATAACATATTTAAGCCTTTTATAAGGTCTAGTATGGCACTTCGCAGTGCTAGACATAGATATCGGCTTTCTTGCAAGCCTCATCAGCAGTAGAGTGATATTCAGCTCAACTGAGCTCCTGATATAAGAGAATCGAAGCCAAACATCTTACACTACACTTCGAGTGAAAGATCACTCGACATGCGGTGACATACAGTGTGGGAATTTACATTGTAACACGTTCGGCGCCGATTCCCTTTAATGTACGTGAACAGTTGAGCCCAAAGGGACGTGCTTCTTATGAGGCCAGAAATGAGAAACTCATATCACGTGAGGTGTCATGGAAGACCTTCTAAAAAGCTTGAGATATGTTAACAGATCATTTTGTAATAAGAAATCACATTGCATTAGAGCTCACAAAAAAATGAATAGAGACTTATCAACATATCTGTTCTTCAGTACGATAAAAAGCTCTAAAGGAAA